TATGCAAGTATATCAGCTGAACTGAACGAATGTGGTGCTGGGTGGGAGACCCACCTCAGGATTGCTGCCAGCAGCATAAGGGGCAGAACTACAGGAAGAAGAAGTGAAGCTGTTGGGACCTGTTGGAAGCTGAAGGAAGCTGTTGGTTCTCCGGGAGGAGCCTGTCATGCTGGCTTTTCTGATGGACTCTGCTATTCTTGCCATCAATAGAGCTCAGGATCTTACTGTCACTGAGAATGGCTATGGTTCACTTTGCAGGAGCGCTGGTCCTCACTTTGAGCATCATTTCCTGGCTCTGGAGGGGAAGGCGGTGCACTGCTTAATCTCCTGGAGAAGCTTGCCATACTGGCTTTCAGGATGGGAACTTGGCTGTTCTCATCTTTAGAGGAGTTCAGGACCTCACTGTTGCTCAGGATGGCTATGGTACTTTTCGGGGAGCTCTGGTTCTTTCTTTGAGCGTCACTTCCTGGCTCCAGTGCAGATTCCTCAGCCTGCTAGCACAGATCCTTCATCCACAGACTTTCTAGCTTCCATCACTGATCTTTGGGCCTTTCCAGAGCAGATCCGTGAAACAGGCCTACATGAGACATTGTTGAGGGCTCTTGGCTTCCAGTTGGACTTGTGAGAGGCATTATTATGGGATCTAGGTCTTCAGTTGGACTCATGCAGGACATTACCATGGCATCTAGATCCTCAGCTGGATTCTTTGGTCTTTAATGTGTGGACAGATTTCCTGCACTCTTTTTGTATATGACTCTTTCGGTGACTATTATAAAATAATCTTGTAATTAAGTCTCCTGCATTGTACTGTTTCCCCTTGTAAACCCCAAACTACAACAGGATCTTATGCTGTAAGGAAGATATGTACACAAAAACTTCACTTTCAATTCAATGTCAAAATAATTCTACAGAGAGAATCCAAGAGAAGGGACATCTAAATCTGCCTGAAACTACCAGCATAGCCTTCCCCGTGAAGATGATGTTATAATAGAGTCATGAAAGATAAATAGGAGTTTTCCAAATAAAGAATATTTGTAAAGTTTGAGCAAATTTTTCCCAATAATTTATATATATATATATATATATATATAGCCATGTACTAGTCATAAAGCTCTCACAATAAAGTATGAGGACTGAAAGCATACAGAAAACTATTCCGCTAAACTAGAAATGAATTACTAAATCAGTTAATGTTATCAATTAAAATTAAAATATTAATAAATGTTTAAATAGCACTGACTACAAAGAGTAGCAAACAGACATTGCTATAGTTTGGGTCTGGGATGTCCTTCAAAGGCCCATGTGTTACAGGCTCGATCCTTAGCTCAGTGCTTTTTGAAGGTGCCAGAACTTTAAGAGGCCTTGTAGGAAGCTCTAGGTCATCAGGAGGTGGATCCCTAAAAAGGACTGTGAGGTTCAGGAAGCAGGTTAGGGCAGAGTACTTGATCTAGGAAAACTGGAACTCCCATCTGTTAGAGGTCAAATATGCTGAGTTTGTGGCCCAACAGCAAGGAATGAAGTCAAGAACCAAAGGAAGAAGTTAGGAACGTGTTAGGGGAAATAAGGAGAAAAGAACAGCTCCTGGATTTCCAAGAGAGGTCACATATGGGGTGGCCACCAAGGCCCTTTGTCAGAAGTAATTTATACAGCAAAGTCAGAATGTGAGTACGTGGGTCAGACTACAATCAACTTACAGGATTACAAGTATAGCAGCTTAGCTAATATTGGTGCAACAGGGAAATGAGTCATGTAGCAAGGGCACATGGAAAGAAAAGCAATTTTGGGAAAGAATAGGTTCGATACTCTGGTCACCCACCTGGGCAAATGATGCTTATCTGGACTTACAGGACCACATGGTTCTAATTATAATACAATCTCAAATTATTGTATATCCCTCGGGGAGGCATGTAGGCCTGGGCACTGCATCTTTATCTTGAGGCCTGGGCTTCTTCAGATATATCTCCAGCCACAATTCTGATGTGTTTATTTTTGTACTGACTCTCTTGAGACCAGTCCCTCTCTGACTGTATATTAATTTATATCTAATTTAACTGCCTTTAATACACTCTCATAGAGTAAAGGAGACCCCGAGTTTCATCCTCGGGAACACATACAAAAAAAGAACATGAGGCCAACAGACCAAGGATTAATATCTTCAAACCTGTAAGCCAATGAAAAACCTTTCTTATTTTCAAGTTGATTATCTTGGGTATTTTATTACAGTACCAGAAACCTGACACAGGTTTTGAAATCACTAGATATCCTTCTCTGCAAGTGATTTAACATATTTCATAAATATATGATTCATTTCAACTGAAAATAATAAAATTGAGCTTTGAAAAGTATAGATGAATAGATTTGAAGGGGAAATACAGAGGGACATGTTATAAAATTATTTTATAGAGCAATTTCTCAGAAATTCATAGCTTAAATGCTATTTGAACCTGCAGAATAACAACAACAACAAAGCCTTTCAGAGGAGCACAACGAGGATTTCATACAAAGTTTTATTCTGTTTTGTTTTGTTAGCCTTGGGTTAATTCAGATTTTTCTCCTTGTACTGATATGCCTACTTAGGCCCAGAAAGAAGGCATATTAATACTAAATAACTAAGTAATTACACTGATGTTCCTATCTAGAAATATTAACAGCAGGACAATTACTTTAAATCCCAATTAACACTGTGAAGAAGGATAATTAAACATAAAAAATTTCTCAAAATTGTACCTTTTTAACATTTTGAAAAGATTTTTTAAAACAGAAATGATATGAAAAGAGGTGACTTTTAGCCTCAGTCTTTGTGATAATGTACCATAAAATTTATTTGGAAAATATCATAAAAACTTCGTATGTTCAATTAAGGATATTGGCCACTGGAAACAAAACAAAACAGAGCTCAAAATGCTTTAAGCAGTAAAGTGTTTTTTGTTTCAAAATTACCCCAAAGTGAAGTCTTGTGATAGAGTCAATTCAGTTTCAATTTAACAAGATTTGTGTCACAGTTCTGCTCTATCTCAATATGTGATTTCATGGTCACAACAGGGCTGCACAGGTGCCCAAGGTAAAAAATGTCCAACGGCAACAGTGGGGTCTTTCACTTTTTCTTCAAGTAGGCTTTCCAGTACCCACACAGATATCCTTTCAGGATACAGAACTGAGTTAAGTGCATTTCATAAGCCAATCACCAGCAAAAGGAATGGAATAAATATAATCCATCTCCCACCCACTCCCAAAGAGTGATTTGAGCCGTTCTAAAACCTGAATGCATCCCAAAGTTTCTTACAGAGTTTACTGAACCGTACTTCCGGGTCCTACCCCGTAATAATCAGTGGCTTCAGGGTAGAGCCCATGAGCTTGCATTTCCTTCACACTCCCAAGTGATGCTGTGTTTGTTCTTTGAAGCACACCTCACACTGCCTAAAGCTTGAAGGCCCCTATCACATCAAGCATAGGTTAACAATGGGGTAGTAGGGATGATTTTTTAAATGATCAAGTTTCATTCTCTATCTCTTAACATTATTTAAAAATTGCTCTTTAAAGTTGCTATTGTCAAAGTGAATTTCATTTGGCATAAATCTCCTTCAGTTTTAAATTTGGTCTCAAGGTTTCTCTGGACACAATAAATGGAAATATAACTTGATGTATAACCAGACTATAATCTTTCTTTTTGATCTCTTACTAAAGGAGGTTTTTTAAAAAAAAAAAGAGGTAATTTTTAAATTAATTTGTTTATTTTTCATTAGCACATGTTTTTAGTATATCATGTTTACATTTCTTGTGGGGAATCGGATACACCTTGAGTCCTTTGTTTCATCCACTTTCCCTTCTCCCTCCTCTCTCCAGCCATCTCTTCATTTCCTTTTTCTTTTATTATGCACATGTTTGCAGTGCATAATGTTTACATTTCTTGTGTGGCATTGGGATAGGTACATAACACACTTAAATTCCTTTTCACATCCCCTTTTCCCTCCCCACTCCTCCTTTTATCTTTTGATCCCTTTCTCCTTTTAGACAAGTCTACCTGCCTTCTTGTCATCTTTTATTTTGCTCTTTATTTATACTTTAGGTTTCTCATATAGGAGAAACCATACATGTAAGCTTACAACCTATTTTGGTAACAAGTAGCTGAGACTCAGTCAATCATAAACAGCCAACTGTTCAAACTACCTTCAAGTAAGACAGGCACAAGCTGTGACTAATCAAGTCGCCTCTCCACTTCCACTTTTGCATGTCATGGCTATAGATATAGCCTCCCACATGATGGGGGCGGGCAGGAGGGTAGGCATGCTAAACCATTTTTTGCCTACTCTGTTCTGCTGGTCAATCCTAGAATCAAAAAGCCAATCAAGATCCAAACTGGATTTATTTCTTTTTTTTATTTATTTATTTATTTTTTTTTTTTTTGTCTTTTTGAGACAGGGTCTCACTACGCAGTTCAGGCCAGCCTTGAGCTCACTTTGTAGCCTAGGCTGGTCTCGAACTCCCAAGGATCCTCCTGCCTCAGCTTCCCGAGTGCTGGGATTACAGGCGTGCACCACCACACCCGGCAAACTGGATTTGTTGCAATTTTGTCTTATAACATTATTACATCACATTAAAGGTGTGCACAGGTTTCTTCTGGGTACTTCAGAATTGCAAGTGTTTTATATTATGTTATCACTCTGATATATCTCTCCCATGTTATTACCAAGACAAATGTAATAGTCAGAAAGCTTCTATCACCGATCAGCAATGGCACCTTCAGATTGTCAGTATGTGATTACAGATGGAGCTATTAAACTTCTATGTGGCACACATGCTGTTTGGCAGACTTTAAAAAGGAGAAAAAAAAATGGAGGTGGAAATTAAAATTTTTCTAGCTCAACAAGAACCCACTTGGTAACCACTTATACATAAAAGCCCCCAAATAATACACTTCACCAGATGCTTCTTTAATTTTCCAGGGATTAATTTGAGAGTTAATTATCCATTTTAAGTGATTAACAACAGCAAAAAAGCACGAGGCTCTGAACCAGTGTTTTTAATTGTATTATGGACCATTGTTCATTTCCACTTTTAAGAACTCGAATCCTTTTGACATGTTAAAAAAGTCTGGAATGAATTTGCTTGTCTGCTTGGCAACATTTGAGCAAGTAATTACTCCTCCAAGTCCTGCAGGCAGCTTTCAATTGTTCCTGTCTGTTGGTGAGAAGAGGGACAATGAGAAAAGTGCTAAGATGAAATTCAGTAGTGACTTCATGCCAAAAATATATCTATATGTTTCTGAGTCAATAACCCTAACTTCTTCCCCATTCTGAATTGGATTGTTAGCAACAAACAGTGGAAAACACAGAGAACCGAAACACAAAAGATCTGAGTTGTGCAAGTCATTTCCTTTAGCATTGTTTTCCTTACTTGAAAGGCTTTGGATTGGGTGTTTCGGTTTTTATCATTCCTTCCGGATAGAATCTAAAGGTGACAATTCCTTTCTCTCTCCCATCCATCTTTGAGGATAGGTGTTAATAGCAATTAAATGTGGACTAACAGGAAAAGGAGATTTAATTACAAATTGAGAAAAACAACAGGCCAGGTAATTTTGCCTTTAAGGAAGAGTTGGCTGTAATGTGATCATGTTGGCAGCAATTTTGACGCAACATTAACTGAATTACAGAGATTTATTTAAAACCAATTTGAAGAATGATGCCCATATGACAATGGCATGATCCACATTTCATTTTTTAAAACTGAGTGAAACATGTTTTCCTCTTTTAGACTTTATTCCCTGTCCCTTAAAAAGAAAAACACCTTTCCAGAGTCATGCATGAGTCATACTGATTCTCAAATTAAACTAAACACTCATAGCACATAGGGGACAAAGCCAAATGATTCCAAATGATTATTTGGAAGTGTAAGAGATTTGAATCTCTGCTCATTCACTCGACTCTAATTACCGAAATGAAGATGCAGTTTTACTCTTTCTAGAACAACAGTTCTCAAATCTGAGCTTCCATGAGAATTACCTCCAGGGCAATCATGGGGACCCCAAAGAAGAGCTGGGAACCCACTTAGGTTCTTGATTTATCATTTCAGAAAAGCATTTCCACGTACATCACTGAGAGGCATAAGACGATGTATTAAGCAGAGTTAGTGAGAGAAAATGGGAAAAGAACATGAGCTTAGGAGGGGAAGGTGGCACAGCTCTGGTAGAAAAGATCAGACTGACCATCGACAAAAGGAAGGGGAGACCTTCTAAGGAGCTGAGGGAAAGGGGCAGGGTCTGGTTGATCATTTTCTCAGTTCTGATTTCACATGATGTCTCTGGTGGAAGTCCTTATTATTGAAGGGGTAATTTCATCTCCATGAGATGACTGCTTCTGGTTGGGGCAGACTGAGTTTTGTAGAGGCTCTGCTGGAACCCAAGGTAGCCCTTGGTTTAGGAGAATGACTGAAGACTTCTGGGTACTCACTGGTAGTTGAATGGAAATCTCTTGTTATCTTCAATCTTTTTTGGGAGGCATGGGGGACAGAATCTCACTAAATAGTCCAGGGTGGCCCAGAACTCTCTTATGTATCTAAGGATAGACTCAAACTCACAGTCCTGCAGAATGCTCCACCATACCCAACTAAGAGGTTAGGTTTTGTAGATAAATGTTAGGGGTGGGGGCAGAAAATGAATATATAAAAAGTACTCAGTGGAAGATTATTTGTCTAGCATGTGTGAGACCTTGGGTTTGATTCCCCAACACTGCATAAATATCACATACACCCATATATACATATACATACATATACACATATATAAAAGAAATCTGAACTGTTTTGGAACTACTGGAATTTTCCCTTATAACATGACTGTTCTCACTTGCCTTTTTTTTCTTTTACTGTCCCAAATTTAAGCAATTCAAATAAATGTTCAGGGTGGAGTTATACATAATACATGATGTTATTTCACTGGTTAAAATAAAAGAAAAGAAAAACACTTTGATTCTTTGACGGCTGTCCTTTAATAAAATGCAGAAGAAATATTTACTAACGAAGCAGAGGCAGAAGACATTTTATTAATGGTTTGCCTTGTTATATCAGCTCAAATCACATTACATATCCGTTATGAATAGGTGATGCTTAAAAAGACAGCAAACTAAATATGGTACCGTCATCTCCATCACCACCATCACCGTCACCCATTCTAACTAGAAAATTCATGGATTAGCCTTAATAAGAAGAAAGAAAGGGGTGGAAGTCTATTGGTGTTGACATCTGAGGACTGCTGGGATTCGGGAGCCAGCGATTCTGATCTTCTTTTGATGAATAAGAATTCCCATGAATACAATTTAAACTGCTTTGAAAGTCTGAGAACAGTGTTATATTTGCTTTTATGTGTCATATGCAGAGATAATTAAAATATGAAAGTATTGGGGGACAGAGGAGAGATCCACACTTTTTTTCCAAAGGGAAATTCAGAAGAATTTGGTTAGAATGTCACAAGAGCTTGTATGAACGATTTCCCTATTTATACACAGAAAAATGTTTATTCATGTACCTGGTCAATAATCTTTCTGAAGCCCCTACACTGGGCCAGATGTGCTGAGTGGGTTTAAAAGAAGGGATACTGCAGACAAGACAAGACCTCTATCCTCACAGAGTTTACAGTCTGCCAGCTATTAACCAAAACCAAAAGCACCTGGCAAAGGGTAACCTAGGAATCAATGTTTGGTTAACAACAGGTAAACTAATTATATAACAAATTAAATACAAATGTCCTGAGTGCAGGACACCAGCAAAGCCCTTGATACACACAGTATTTAGAGGAAGAGGGGGGCATCTATTAGGTCAAAATTTCACAGAATGCAAGCAATTTCCAAGTTAAAAGTCAGGTTTATTATTAAAGTTTGTCAATAATTTAATTCACTGGAATGAATTTTCTCCAGAAAAATTTCTGAAAAATGTTGAAATGCTGTAACTATGCTCTATGAGATTGCAGCAAGATTTAAAGCACTATAAAAACATAATTTCATTATAATATAAATATAGTAAGCTGTATTACAGCAACTGAAACACTATATTGATAGGGTAGAAAATATAACGATGATAGTAATTTTCAATAAAAAGAAAATAAACTACTTTGTATAAAATTGAATATAAACACAAATAAATGCAATGGAGATATATAGATAGATAGATAAAGATAAAAATTAGAAAAAATATTTCAAATAACTGAGCATATCTCTTTGACCAATTTTAGTGGAATATATAACTCTAAGGGTGAAAAACAAAAGAGTGTGAAAGCAAATCCCAAATTTTACTACTTGGTTAACAAACCCATTGATAATACCTTAGTAGTAATACTGGCATTCTAGTTGTCAGAATGTCTGTTGCTTATTGAATGGCAGAAAATACAAGGTATGTGTGAATATAACCTTCCATAGTGTTTGATCTAAATATAAAAGAAACAAAGAAAAAATTAATTATACTTTCTCTCAATTTTTAATATTGAATTTGATGGGAAAATGGTGTGAAATGAAAAGTATTTGTATTTCCCTCTCTTGGTTTCTACTGAAAGGCCTGAGAAACATTTATACAGCAGCAATGAACAAATCTCATTTTCTGAACCTGATTTCTAAGAAACATGTCTCACTGCAAAAATAACCAGCTGACTCCCTGTTTATGTTTAAAGAAAGCAAGCATTATTCTTACCAAAATTCTGCACCCTGAATGTAATGAAACTTGCCATCCTTCATGGTGGAACATGGTAGCCACTAGCCACATGTGATCATATAAATTTAAATTTTGAATGAGTGAAATAAATTAAAAATTAATTTTTATAGATGGCTGGTGACTACTATCTTGGACAGCACTCATGAGGACCACTTCCAACTTCACAGCAAATTCTACTGGACAGTGCTACTCTAGACCTAGCTTCCAAGTCCTGGAAAACACAAGAAATAGGGAAATCGGGTAAATGATAGCCAGAGAAAACAAGTAAATGCAAATGACAGAATGATGTGGGATTTCTACTACACTCCTGGCCTAGACTCTTGACCAAGTAAATCGTGCATGTGTGTGTGTGTGTGTGTGTGTGTGTGTCTAATTTTTTACTTAAAACTATTTAAGGGCAATCAAGTGCAATGTGAAAACTTCGAGTGAATATCAAATTTAGAAAGAAACCTGGAGGAATTTGAAAATGGAATGGCGGTTAGATGATTATCATCCCACGTTCTCCTTACAAGCAGCAGTCATTCATGTGTATATAAAGGACCTGAGGGAAAGTGCTCTACATTTTCCCAGACAGGGGAGGGGCTGGAGAGAAATAAACCAGGGAGCACTGAAGCAGGGTGCTGAGAGGTGGGAGTCATCAGAATTGGAAATGGAAGGAAGTTCACACATTTAATCTCCATTTAATCACTTCTGGGATGCATCCTCCCTTTTTTCAACACTACTTTGAAAGAATAATGGCCTGGTGTTTACCTACAAGGAGACAGATGAAGCTCTAAGGCTCCCAGGTTACAAAAGACTCCTGCAGAGAAAAGCCGACTAATGACGAGGAAATGGTCAAACAATTCCATAGACCAATTCCTAGGAGTTGTGAGATTTGTATGGAGCCTCATTTACTGCAATTTAAATGTGGATTTCAGGTTACATAAAGATGGTCCAGTACAAGAATGTCCACCTGAGTATTCCACAGGAAAGACCTAGCGTGGACACCACGTTCCTTTTCAATGGTCTGTGAAATCCCCTAAGCATGAAGTCTTGGAAAATCAGCAAGACAACACCGAGAAGTCAATAATTGCCACCTGAGGGAGATTAAATAGTGGAAATACACATATAATTCTGTTTTGATTGCTTTGTAAAGAACATTTTGTGCATCTATTGGTTTTCTCATAATGGTGAAAGCTGGTTTTTTGTAAAGATTATTTGTGGGTAGGAGTATAGTTCAGTGGTGACAGGGTATATGCTTAGGGTTTTGAGCCATGGGTTCAATCTGTAGCACAAGAAAAAATTATATCTGACAAAGAGGAAGTTTATGGATTGTGGACCAAAAAAAAGGAACTAAAGAGTACTGTCAATATAATGTTTGAGTCTTTACAAGGAGAGATAAAATATATCAGATCTATCGGTGCACTGAGTGCCTTCACTAGCTGGTACGGAAACCTGTTTCCGGTGGGTGATGGAGATAAAGAAGTTTGTTCAACTAGAGGAACATCTGGTAATAGTTCATAGTGTCAGACACGCTCAGCTTCAAACAGTGTGAACAATTACTTCAAGAACTTTATAAAGGGACAGATTTCAAAGCTCACCTCGCAGAGATTCTGACTGCCGGTCTGAGCAGGGTGCAAGACTCCTCATTAATTCTCACTGCTCCCCATGCTCTCCCAGTGACCACCGTGGAGGCTCTTGTTGGACAGCACATGGTGAAAACCTGTTCTAGGGTTCGGGGCCTTGAGTGGCAAGATCCACAGCATAAGGGGTGCCTGTCCCTCTGGAGCACTGCCCCAAGTCACACAGACACCGACCGCGCTATCACACAGGGAGGGGCTGGGAGTGCACGGGGCAGCTGCTCTGAGCTCCAGTCACAGAGCCCAGGATGTGCAACCAAGATTGGGGGTGATGGAAAGTAAAATCACAGATTATCTGAAAACGGCCATCCTCTCATTTTTTTTAATGGAACAAAGAAAATGTTTTTTCCCACTTTGTTTTCATTCTTGTCTTTGAGGACTGTCTTCAGTTCCAACTGGAGTGCACTTGTAAATGCATGTGTTAAAAAAATACGAACAGAAATCACCATTCTCAGTTTTTACAACGCTTTGGCATTCAGGTGATTTGCACCAAAACGTCTAACTTTCATATTTTAGACAGGAAGGCCTCAAAGAAACAGTGCAGATGAGTCTTTTGCTAATCTACTGGTTTCCTGGTTCATCACTGCACAATGTGTGCTGAGACAAATATAAAATTCTATTACAGAACAATGTATAAAACAAAGTCTATTAAATTTACCTGTGATGGCCAGCTCTGTTGAAGCAGTTTCCAAGGGTTACATGGTCTCTGGGGCTTCCACTGAGGCATCATTTCTTCAGAAAGTTTCTCCTTATCTAAGGACCTCCCTGCTCCTTCTAAGCCTGGGGTCAGTGCTTCTTAAATTCCCCCTCACAGACTGTATTTTACCACAATTACCCCCATTTGTCCCTTTTCCATGGTGGACCTTTAGAAAGGAGTACTTATATTACCTTGATCTTCACATTTCTAGGGCCTAACCTGAAGCAAGATGCAAAGTCTACATTAAATAAGCAACATTAATGCATTATAACCAAATTAAAAACATTGAGCTTTTACTACCAATGTGAGCTATATAGGCTGTTATTAGTATATTTATGGGCTGTTTCCATGATCATGTCTTATATTTATATGATGTCTTTTATGACTTTGAGCTCCTGAATTTTATAATCACATCAGACACTAAAAATTCAACTGGCATAACTACTTTCACAGGCTCAGACAGTCAAGGCACATGGGCCATTAGGCTTAATTCCTGATGCAGTGTGCTGGAACTCACACACACCTGCTTATAAGCACTGATTTTCAAATTCTTAGAAATTGTGTAAACAGTGGTTAACTGATATTTTAGTTGGCTGCTAAGAGCTGGCAATGGCAGGAGTATTTACACCACCAACGCTGCATGCAAGTCAGGACTTTTCCCACAAAGCCAGTCCATCCTAGCACCATTTCTAATGAATTGCCAGAAATTGTGCTTCTATGGTATCCCAAAGTAGCTTGAAGACTACCATTCGCAAAGATAATCTAAATAAACATGAGAATTAGAGAATAATGAATAAAATATTATCCAGCATTGAATTTAATGTAATCAAAAGCCAGAAATTTTAACACTGGTAAGAGGGTGTAAGTGTCAGAAACACGAGCTGTCGGAGTCCGTCAACATTGCTGAGAAAGCATCAGAGAAGAGGTGGACAGAAAATAGAAGACAGAGAAGTAAAAGGAGAGGGGAGATTTAAGGATGCAGAACCAACAGAGTACAGCAACAGTTGAGCAAATGGAGCTAAAACCCCTAAACATGTAAAGGAGAAGAAGGCAACTGAAGTGAAACACAACGTGCAGCATGGCAGAAGAGTCTCACTTACGGTTATAACAGAGCCCTAGGTATTTGGAATTTGACCACTGCTATAAATGCACAGGTGGTGTCTCCATTTCATGATCTTGTTTATTGTCTGTATTCTCAATTTTAAAAAGCCGTTTCCACCGTTTCTACTTACTGCTTGAAGTAAGTACTTCTTTAAAAGCTTCGGGAGCTATTTCCATTTCTATTAAACAGCTTTGCTGTTTCCCCCCATAATATGCATTTTTTAAAAAATAACAAATCTCCATAATCCAGATTAGAGCTAAACAAATGTACCTGACATTAACCAAAGTACCAAGTTTGGGCTTTTGCCTGTAACACACGATTCAAAGCCATCAGTAACACTCAATGCAGAACCAAAGAGAGAAGCAAAATATCATTAATGCTTAAAATGGTTCAAATTTCTGTCTCTTTATAGATTTATCTTGTCTGGACATTTTATATAAATGGAGTCACAGAACATGTGTCAGGCTTTTCTTCATGTAATTTTTTTTGGTTTATCATCCATCAGTAAATTCCACTCTACTACGGGTTTGTAGTACACCAGTAATTTCTTCTGCCTATTCTTCCCTCCACTTCTTTCTGCCATGGCTTGAAGAACTCCCCTAAAACTCATGTTGAAATGTAATTGCCACTGCAGTTGTATTAAGAGGTGGGGCCTTTAACAAAAGGCTAAATGATGAGAGTGCTGCCTAATGAATGAATTAATGACCTTATCACATGAGTGAATTCCTGATTTAAAAAAAAATGAGCTTGGTCTGATTTTTCTCTCTCATACAGGCTGTCTTGCCATGTGTTAACTTCCTCCATTATATGATAGCGCATGAAGGTCTTCACCAAATGAGGCCCCTTGATCTTGAACTCCCCAGCTACCATAAGTCATACAAACTTCTCTTCATAAATTACCCAGTCTCTGACGTTCTGTTCTAACAACACAAAATGAACTAAGACAGAAAATTGGTTCCAAGAATTGAAACTATTGCTGCAATGAATACTCTCAAAACTATAAGTAGTTTTGGAACTGGCTACAGGGCCAAGGCTGCAGGAGTTTGGAGAAGCGAGCTAGAAGTTTAGATTGCTACAAATAGATGAAGAACAATTCCAGTAAAGACACAGAAGAGGGGATTCAGGGAAAGTCTCAATCTCTGTATTAATTTTTTTAAGCAATCGTGATAAAAATGTTAGCAGAAACATGGATGATAGACATCACCATGATAAGGTATAAGACAGAAATAAAGAACAAAGCAATGGAAATTGGAGTGGTTATCCTTGCTGTATATTTGCAAAGTATCTGGTGCACTCGTATTCATTTTTTAGGACTGCATGGGATACAGAAGCTAAGAGTCATGAATAACATGATATGGTGGAAGAAAAACTTAAACAGCACTGCATTGAGTCTCCTGCAGGACTACTTTTAACCACGAAGAGGGATATGTGATTGAAAATAAATTACTTAAAACTGGAATTTATAATTAAAGGGGAAACAGAGTGGAAAATTTGGAAAATTCACAACATGGCCTTGTTAAGAAAAAATAGGTATGTTAGGGGAAGAATTCTAAGGGTGTGGCCAGGCTTCCACTCACTGCAGATTAGTATGGATAGAAGGAAGCCAGCTACTATTCATGAACACATGGAAGAATGACCCCAAAGTCATCTCAGAGCTCTTCAGAACTGCTCTTCTCATTGCAAGCCCAGAGCTCTGGGAAGGTAGATGCGTCTTAGACGCAGGGCCCAGGGTACCTTTCATGGGCTTACTGCCTGGAGCCACACTGAGACTCTGCTCCCTGACCCCAGTGTGTAGCCTCTGGCTGCCCCAGCTGTGGCTCTGGCTGCAAATCCAGAGAGTACAGTGGTGGCATCTGTGTGTTGTGAAGTCTGTACATTCAGCGAATGCAAAAGTGTAGGGCCTGTTTATCTTGACCTGGATTTCAAAGGATGTCCCAGACAACTTTGGGCTCAGCCAGGAACTGGCCACAGGGGTAGAGCTACAATACAGCCCCTACTGGGACATTGCCTAATGGAGCCATGGAAGAGGAGTCATCCCCCAAGATCACAGAACTGCAGAACAGCCAATGTGCAATGGCAGCCTGGGTACGCTGCAGGCAGGGACTTCGAGGGTGGGATAGCTGAAATGAAAGCTGACTTGAGCAAAGCCATAGGGGCAAAGCTATCTGATGTGCTGGGGACCACAAACAACCTAGAGTACCCAGGATTAAAGTCAGAGTCAAAGGAGATGACTCTTCAGTTTTAAGACTTAGTGTTGTTTTTACTGTTGGGTTTTGGACTCATTTGGACCAGTTACCCCTCTTTTCTTATCTACCCTACTCTTTTTGAGTGAAAATAGTCATGCAATGCCCGTGCTGCCATTATATTTGGAAAGTACACAACTTGTACTGACTTTGCCTGCTCATGGCTTGAGGAATCTGCTCCAGGATGAATTGTGCCTTGAATCTTACTCATATCTGATTTAGATGAGGCTCTGGGCTTTAGCATTCTGAGTTGCTACCGGAACAAGTTAAGACTTTGGGGGCTGACATGAAATGAATGTATTTTTTAGGGTAGGCCATGAGTTTGGTGGGGCTGGGATTAAAACACTATGGTTTGGTGTCTCATAAAACTCACTTTGAAATTTACTTCTCAATGTAACAGTATTAGGAACTGTGACCTTTAAGAGATGAAGAAGACATGACCACCTTGCTGTCATGAATAGAGCAATACTGTCATCAAGGAAATGGTTCAGTTATCATGGCAGTGAGTCCTGATAAAAAAGGATGAGTTTGGCCTGATTTTCCTCTCTTACACGTGTCTCTTGCTTTCTGCCAAGTTATGAGATGGGCCTAACCAGATGTGACCTTCCAATCTTGGACTTCCTAGCATCCAGAACCATGAGCCAAATAAACATATATTATTTATAAATGTGTCGGTCCAATGTATTCTCTTATGGCAGCCCCAAACAGGCCGAGACACTCTCTTTTCCAGATAGCATAACTTATTTACCCATTCACCAGGCTGGCAGACACGCAGATTATTTCTACCTTGGGACCATCATGAATAAGACTGCCATTAATACTAATGTGCAATCCTTTCAATAGGCAAATGTTGTTATTGCTCTGATATCTAGGAGTAGATGTCCTGGGTCAAACAGTAAATCCCTGATTAAGTTTTTAAGACACTACCAACCAACTCTCAAAGTGGCTGCAACATTTTACATTCCCAACACAATTTCCTTTTAGTAAAGGTTCTCACTGCTCTAAATCCCAGCTAACATTTGTTATTTTGTGTCTTTCTTTCAGATTATTACCAGTGTCATAGGTGTATAGTGACATCTCATTGTGGTTTTG